CAGTACAATCATCTCCATTTAAATCATAACGTTTGAAAAACTGATTTAAAATCAGGTGTAAGGCAACTGAGCCTGAGTATTGCTGCACATAAAATATTAATGTTTAGAACAGTGCAAAGAATACAAAAACCATTACAAACTCATACAAGAGTTCAGCCTCACACACCAGAGCCACTGCTGCTTCTCTCCCTCGTGCATATCCCATCATGCATCATGTTCTGGAAATAAATATAGAGATCTCATGAGAGGTCACAGAAACCTTTCCAGTGTATGTTAAATATTAATAATAATTAGATACAGGGCTAATTAATGAAAGCACATTAGGTATTGTTATGGGCTAATTTTGTTGTGCAACAAACTCTGAATTTAACTAAAAAAGGCAAGTAAACAATCAGTAATAAAATAAGAACAAATAAATAAATGACAAGCAATAACACAAATACAATAACAAGATGCAAATGAAATTAACAGTGCTTATATGTTTTTCAGGTAGTTCTAACAGTAAGGTACAGAATACTAAAGAAAATGAATAATCTATTCAACTGTAAAATAACATTGGATGGTCTTCACTGCATAAATAAACAGTAATGACACAGACAGCAGCAGGTTTAATTAGGCTGCTGTCTCTTTAAGACCTTGTGCATAGAGCTACTATCCTGTTAGTTTTGTTTCTCAACTGTTCACATTCCCTTAATATATAACCGACTGCGTTTACGTGAATACTTGCCAAGAAGACAGGCATTTTTACATCATTTTGTATATATTTGGCCATTTATGTACAATAAAGCGTAAAAAATAACACAATTCTGTTGTTGCGCTCTGTTTCAGAGGTGCCTGTATATGTGCGCTTTTGGGTTTGAGTGCACAGGAAAAAGTCTCTCAAAGAGCACACAAGTATTGACCATATGCACGGAGCGTTCTTTTATAACTTCCGCATTAAGATAAGCCAGCTCGTAAACTTCCGGTGAAGTTCATTTGATGTTGTGGTATATATAGGTAGAGACTCGTGAGACCCTCAAACCTCTCCTGCCTCGTTCTTGTCAGAAATTGAGATACAAAATAATTGCAACACCTTAAATAATGATAGCGGGCATTAACATACAGTTTCATGTTATTTAACAACATTATCTGCCGAGCCCGGTAATCCCAGGAGTACACCTAGACATGTAATTGTACATTTAAGACAGTGTCTTAAGAACTAGCCGAACCAATAGCAGTTAGCCAAGCAGTAATCAGGCTTATTTTTTGGATTCAATTCAGACGAATCTACACTTTTATGTAACAGAATTAAATACATATGACCAGTCTTAAAGAAAAAAAAATTGATGGCTAACTCTGTAAGACTAGTCTAAACTTTTTATGCAACCGGCCCCAGTACGATACGTCCATGTTTAGAACAGAAAATGGACAGAACAGTATTTCATAATCTTCACACACTTAAAATCTTGCCTTCAAACTCAAATTTCAAAACCTTAATTGGCTGTTGGTTCTGTTTGTTTTTGCACTGGCGAACTAAAAAACAAAACAAAAAACATTTCACTAGTAATATGTATATATGACAAATAAAGAACCTTGAAATGCAGCCATATATGATAATACATTAAATGAAATTATATTTTAAAAATAGTTATCAATTTAATAATTTAATTAAGTTATTACAAAGGACGTTATTTATAGTTAAAGGATTTAAGTAATGTATTGCTATTTATTTCATAAATTTTTTTCGCTTTAAACATTGTGAAAAATAGATATTTCGTTGTATGGACAAGAATATGAATGAATGAATTCAATTAGCAGAACTAAACGACTCCAAGAAGCACGCTCCCTAAATGTGCATTAAGCTTATGTATTGACATAATGTAGCCACTAGATGTCAGTAAAAACACATTAAAGCAACTGAGTGGCAGATATACTGTATGTGCGTTTCTTCATCTGTGGGGACTTTTTGGTGCTGTGGACTTAGAAAAGGACACTTTTCCATTTTAAAATGTTTACATTTTTAAATAAATAAGCGAATTACTGCTTGATGAATTGTATTTAACAGCATTCTGTGATGGAATTGATGGTGGAGTAAATGTAGTTTTCAACCAATTTAGAATAAAATGCCAACTGCTTTATCGTGCTACGCCTAATTTCATTGCAAGCCAAGTTAAATAACCTTTTCTTTTTTTGGGGGGGTTTTGCATATGTTCACAAAATTACAGCTTGGCTAGAAATAACCCTACACTAAGTGATATTTACTTTGATTGATTGAAACCTGGCATAACTGTTATACCACCAATCTGTCCAACTCCAACTATAAACTAAATAAAGAAACGTCTTCCGTATGGTTGCATTATTTGCTGTTAGTCTATTTGTCTTGAGCAGATAAGTGCATTCCCTCACATTACACCTCTTGGACAGCACCTTGTTAAGCGGCCTTCTTAATTAACCAGAGGCATCTGCGAAGTAAAACTATTTGTGTGTCAATCCTTAATTTGTGGAGAAACATTTTACAACTCCTCAGAGTAAGTCCCTAAAGATTCCTCACTGAATGCACCCCACAGAGCCGGAGAAACGTGGCCCCCGCTAGGTGTCTTGCCTGTGGCACATTTTACCCTTTTGCGTTTGAATGTCAAGACTCTCCATGCAGAAAATTGATTCCCAATGATGCTACTGAGCAGGCAGGCCACTCAAGAGAGAAGAAAATAATCTCATGCCCCCAAAACAATGAGATGAAACCAAAATGCTGGAGATAAAGGATTGTCATGAAATTATGAAAATTGAGGAAATCGATCACAGGGCATGAAGCAGATATATGGACACTCAATAGGTTTAAACCTAAATAAGGGCATGTTTGAGACCCCAAGTTCTCCTGTCTCTGCTTGAGGGAAAATATGGGTAGGTCCCTCACAGGAAATTATGTCATTTGTTTGTCCTCACATGAATTAATAGGATATAGTGAACTTACATTACTTGAGAGATTTAATTAGAGCACAGGCAAATAAAAAAAAATAAGGTTTTAAAATGGTTTTGTTGGAAGGTATATTCTTTATTGGAAATAGATTGAACTTTTATTGAAATTAAAAATACCATGCTTTCACAATTTATGTCATTTTTTTCTTTTAAATATGCATTATTCATGATTTGGCGAAAATGTGGAATTCGTCTTGTCCCCCATGTTCTGTTCATAATGGTTTGACATGAAAAAACTATTAGTTTTTGCCCCTATTCAACTCTGTTATGGCATAAACACTATTTTTAATCGCCAGAACATAGCCTGTGACTATGGCGTGGTGCAATGATTGCTAGCTCAGGCTATTATGAGACATTTTTGCGCTGAAATCTTCAACCCTGAAACATGTATATGTAACAGGGTTGACACAAACACGTCTTTCAAATGAGATGGCATGAGTTATTAATATTTAAATACATTGTAATGTGCACTTTTTACCAAAGCACAATAAACTCAAGTTACCTATTAAAATTTATGTAAATAAATTCCAAACTTAAAGTAACAGGGTTGAAATAAAGTAGTATTGTAGGGTCTGGCTTAGCATTACTAAGGACAAATAACTTAATCAAGCTTAATAGCTCAACTTGTTATGGAATAAACATTATTTCAGTTAGCATAATACAACCTGTTAATAATACGGTGTGATGTAATGATGCTTGCTAGCTGCGCCATTATTAGACATTTTTTGCACTGATCATCAACTCAAGAACATTTTGGATGTAGCGGTTGACAAAACACATTTCAAAGAAAAATGGCATGAGTTAGTAATATTTATATTAATATTTAATATAATAAATCATAATGTGCAATTTATCAAAAGGTTAAATAAACTCAGTTACCTATTAAAATCTCTACATTAATTCCAAGCTTGCAGTGACAGGGTTGAAATTAAGTTGTGCTGTAAGGTCAGGCTTTGGGTTATTAATGATAAATAACTTCATAAAGCATGATAGTTCAACTCTGTTAAGGGATAAACACATTTTCTTTAATCATCAAAACACAACTTGTGAATAATACTGTGCGGTGCAATGATGCTTGCTAGCGGAGGCCATTAATAGACATTTTTTAACTGATCTTCAACCCCGAAACAAAGTTGACACAAACCACATTGTCAGAGAGAAATTTCATGTGCTATTGTAATACTAATTTAAATACTGATTATTACCACGCACAATAAACTCTGTTAATTATTTAAATTTAAATGTATAAATCCCAAACTTACAGTAACAGGGTTGAAATAATGTATTGCTTTTGTGTCAGGCTTACTAATGACAAATAACTATTAGTACTTTCATTTTTTATTTAATTTAATAATCTGAATATAGGAGGCACATGCCCCCCTGTGGTGGTCCCGCAATGTCAATAGAGGTTACAGCCCTGGTTCATTTTCAAATAAAGTAATCCTAAAAGTTTTGGGAGAAATTTTCTTAGAAAACCCCCGTCATCACTTCAAAACACATCACATTCTGCATTCTAAGCCTATACAACATACAAAATGAGTGAATTAAACCGAAGACTGGGTTATATGTGACACACATCACTCTTGACTTGACTCTAAACACTCGTCAGTGCTGTGCTTACTCCCAGCCGTTGGAAAGAATCAGCACACTTCCTCTGGTCTGGGACTAACCTGGGCCATGTGTTCAGCAGTAATTCTTCCCCTCCAGAGTGAGTAAATACTCTCGGCAGAGCCCATATCAAATTCCAGGGAAACAAAGGCAGCAAGTGCTGTGAGGGACGACTGCGCACTCGCAGCCATAATGAGCCATCTGTTCAGCCATGGCAGTGCAAACCAAATGTCATCAAACTGTGCTCCTTCCCTCGCGCCTGCTAGCGTTCCTCACCTCGCCTTCATGGCAGGTAAACCGCACTCAGAGAGCATCACTAATGCTCGGCGTCACAGTTTACATTGGAGTTTTGCACTGAAATCGGTTTGTATCAGTGACAAACAATGTGAAGTTCAATCCTGCAGTGTGGCTGACGGTACAAATAATGAACTAAAATACATCTTCAATTAAATATTTAATACCAGCAGCCATGATACATTTATAGCGTATATTTGGAAGCGACGACACAAAACAGACGTAATGCCGAATGAAAAGACAGACAGCATTCAAATAGACATCTGAAATACAAGGTTTGAAGATTTGAAGCAGCAGCCAAAATAAGAGTATTGGTCCTGCATGTGACCAAAATCATTTAATCTTAGTCGTCTGAATAACTCCAGAATATACAGTATAATTCAAGCACCTTACTTGAACCATGCAAAAGTGTGAATACATTTTAGAAAAAATTTCAATACATAAACAGCTTACAGTAACAAAATAAAACCGGTATCGCGTGTGAAAATGCAAAAGAAAGGCACGTAAAATGTATAAAAAAAAGGGTTGATGAACATAACAGGATTGAGAACTGGATGATTGAAGATTGGATTCCAAATGCTCAGTGATTGTGGAGAAATGAACAAGCGTCTCTAAAGGGGTTATTCTTCAGAGGGTGGGGTCGTGTCCGATGGTGCCTGCTGGGTAACACTGTCCATCTCTGCAGGTTCAGAGCTCTCAGTCGATGGACTCTTCTCATGGGCGGCACCTTCTTCCTCTGCCTGGCTTTTATCCTCTTCTGTGTTAGTACTCTCGTCGAAGCCGGGCCCTTCGGCCTGCGGACCATCGCCGTCATAGATAATGTCCTCTGGGTTGGGCGCGGGCGGACAGAACTCTTCATCAGGGAGGATATGATGAAACACGGATTCAGCCTGGAAATGAACACAGAAACAAAAAAAAAGACTAAACATCCCATAATTGAGGCAGCAAGCAATTTCTGATCCAATGAACACAGTGTCTGCCTCCTTCTGCTGGACTCGCCAGTTTAATGGAGTAGTCGCTGCACAGGCTGCCATCGGGACCGGTGCACACGTGAACGTTGCTCGGCAGGCTGTAGTTGCTGCTGTCCAGGGCTGATGTGTCCCTCATGTTGAAGTACATGACCCACAGCACTGCAGGCTTGCTTCTCTCCTCTGCACCTGCATGTGATGTTTAAACAATCATTGCTTTTCTGTCTTTAATGTCTTGACATTAGAAGGCTTTGCATTTCAGATGTCTTACTTTTGACAATTCCTACAAATATTAAGCCAGCTGTCTACATTAAAGGTCATGACCAGGCCTAGACGGAATCTATGCACTTTTCCGACATTCCCCCTACTTTTGGTGAAGCCAAAACCAGCCAAATGTTTGGTAATTGGCACCAAGTAATGTTGTGAAATATTATTACAATTAAAAAAGCTGATTTCTATCTGAATACATTTTAAAATGTGATGTATTCCTGTGATGCAAAGCTGAATTTTCAGCATCATTACTCCAGTCTTCAGTGTCACATGATCCTTCAGAAATCATTCTAATATGCTGATTGAAACATTGAACACTGAAATACAACATGAAACACTGAACTTTATATTCAGCAAAAACTGTTAAGAACTATAACTAATGAATGAGAACCAAAAATAATGATGATAATAATGATTGACCAGCAAATCATCATATTAGAATGATTTCTGAAGGATCATGTCACACTGAAGACTGGAGTAACGACTACTGAAAATACAGCTTTGCTCACAGAAATAAATAAAAAATATTCAAAATATTCAAAAAGAAACCAATTATTTTAAATGGTAATAATATTTCATAATATTACTGCTTTTACAGTATTTTTGATCAAATAAATGCACCCATGGTGAGCAGAAGAGACTTGTTTCAAAAACATTAAAAAAAAAAATTATTCCAAATTACGGTACAGTATAACAGTATAGGAACATGCTAGAGTATAATGTATTGTATCGCGTGTGAAAATGCAAAAGAAAGGCACGTAAAATGTATAAAAAAAAGGGTTGATGAACATAACAGGATTGAGAACTGGATGATTGAAGATTGGATTCCAAATGCTCAGTGATTGTGGAGAAATGAACAAGCGTCTCTAAAGGGGTTATTCTTCAGAGGGTGGGGTCGTGTCCGATGGTGCCTGCTGGGTAACACTGTCCATCTCTGCAGGTTCAGAGCTCTCAGTCGATGGACTCTTCTCATGGGCGGCACCTTCTTCCTCTGCCTGGCTTTTATCCTCTTCTGTGTTAGTACTCTCGTCGAAGCCGGGCCCTTCGGCCTGCGGACCATCGCCGTCATAGATAATGTCCTCTGGGTTGGGCGCGGGCGGACAGAACTCTTCATCAGGGAGGATATGATGAAACACGGATTCAGCCTGGAAATGAACACAGAAACAAAAAAAAAGACTAAACATCCCATAATTGAGGCAGCAAGCAATTTCTGATCCAATGAACACAGTGTCTGCCTCCTTCTGCTGGACTCGCCAGTTTAATGGAGTAGTCGCTGCACAGGCTGCCATCGGGACCGGTGCACACGTGAACGTTGCTCGGCAGGCTGTAGTTGCTGCTGTCCAGGGCTGATGTGTCCCTCATGTTGAAGTACATGACCCACAGCACTGCAGGCTTGCTTCTCTCCTCTGCACCTGCATGTGATGTTTAAACAATCATTGCTTTTCTGTCTTTAATGTCTTGACATTAGAAGGCTTTGCATTTCAGATGTCTTACTTTTGACAATTCCTACAAATATTAAGCCAGCTGTCTACATTAAAGGTCATGACCAGGCCTAGACGGAATCTATGCACTTTTCCGACATTCCCCCTACTTTTGGTGAAGCCAAAACCAGCCAAATGGTTGGTAATTGGCACCAAGTAATGTTGTGAAATATTATTACAATTAAAAAAGCTGATTTCTATCTGAATACATTTTAAAATGTGATGTATTCCTGTGATGCAAAGCTGAATTTTCAGCATCATTACTCCAGGCTTCAGTGTCACATGATCCTTCAGAAATCATTCTAATATGCTGATTGAAACATTGAACACTGAAATACAACATGAAACACTGAACTTTATATTCAGCAAAAACTGTTAAGAACTATAACTAATGAATGAGAACCAAAAATAATGATGATAATAATGATTGACCAGCAAATCATCATATTAGAATGATTTCTGAAGGATCATGTCACACTGAAGACTGGAGTAACGACTACTGAAAATACAGCTTTGCTCACAGAAATAAATCAAAAATATTCAAAATATTCAAAAAGAAACTAATTATTTTAAATGGTAATAATATTTCATAATATTACTGCTTTTACAGTATTTTTGATCAAATAAATGCACCCATGGTGAGCAGAAGAGACTTGTTTCAAAAACATAAAAAAAAAAAATTATTCCAAATTACGGTACAGTATAACAGTATAGGAACATGCTAGAGTATAATGTATTATTTATGAATAAAATATAAATAATTGTATTTTTTAAAACAAACCAAAATTAGATTACAACACAAATAAACAAATAATAAAATGAAATAGAATTTTCAGGCTGTGGAAAGTCTTTGAAAGTGTGCACAGAAACATTAGAACCTAAATTGTATGATACTGGGGGAGTTTACAGCCTTGCATAAATGTGAGGTGCTTCCAAGAATACAAAGCAGTGTATGTTTGTGACACAACAAATGACATATTGGTGTTGGATTTTTTTTCATGTGAATCAAAATGGGAGAATTTCAGCACCAAGCACAGCAGAGAGCATGAGTTGATGGGAAGTCCATAGACAGACTTGCAGCATACAATCTTGACCACTTTGCACATTATTCTGGCCAAGAAACACACACTTTACAGATCGACTGTAGAATGCTATAAAAAGAGGTTTCTCGCACAAGGCTGTTCATTTCTGCTTTAGTTGGGCCATCCAGACAAAAAAATGGGGATAACACTGAAACACACTTTTCTTATAAACGCCACGGTAAAACTTTAGGTTAGGCTATTCACTATTAACTAGCTTCTTATTAGCATGCATATTACTAGTATGTTGGCTGTTTATTAGTACTTAAAAACAGTACTTAAGCACATAATAATGCCTTATTCTGCATGACCATATTCTATGTCCCTTGACCCAATACCAATACTTAAAACATACCTACTACAAAAACTACCTTACTTCCTATCAACAAGCAGCAAATTAGGAGTTTATTGGGGGAAAACTCTTAGTTAATAGTAAATATGTGTTTCCTAATCTAAAGTGTTACCAACCATACTTTCAATAGATCCATGTTGATTTATCATGAGATGAGTCACTGTTAATATTTTGTTAGTGGCTGCATGACGTAGGTCATCTAATCTCTTTTTCTCCTTTGATGGCATCTTAGGCGAGATGGGCTCTATAGTCCAACAGAAGAGAAGAATCCCAAGAGTGTGTGTGTGTGTGTCACTGGTTCATTTAAAGCGTAAAGCTGTCAGTCTGTATCATTACCCTTTAAATACATGGGCCTCTGCCGCAAAAAGGTGGGAAAAGAAAGGCTAGAAAAAGCGAGAGGGAGAAGGTGTCAGTCTGAAATGTCAGAACGGTCATTACCCAAATGTCACACAATTATGACGCGTGTTCCTTTTCCTGCCCAGAGTGGCCCGGTGATTTGCTTAATTTGGAGAGGGGGAGAGGTGTGGCGGCATTAATGTTTAACGCCGCTTCAAATACACCACCTACCCTTCCCTCTGAATGCAGCCAGGTCACTGATTAACAAAACACTCAAGCCTTTACCTGAACACACACCGCCAAAGAATCTCTTCTGTTGTAAGAAGAAAGCCATGAACATACATGACTAGATAATAAGTGGACACAGAGAAACACCGTTTTGGGGGAACAAATATTATTTTCTGTATAATATGTTTGTTATTTAATATATAGTGTTATATATTTATATAATGTTATTTATATTTATATTATCCATAATGTCACATAAATATATACAAAATATTAATAATAATATAACACATCATATACATTACCCATTCAAAGGTGTGGGGTCAGTAAGATCTTTATTTTTTTTAAAGAAAATAATACTTTTATTAAGCAAGAGCACACATTTTTAATAATAAATAATAAAATATAGATTATAAAAAATGCTTGAGCAGCAAATCAGCATATTCTAATGATTTCTGAAGGATCGTGAGACACAGAAGCCTGGAGAAATAATGCTGAAAATTCAGCTTTAATATATATATATATATATATATATATATATATAGGGTACGGAAAGTATTCAGACCTCCTTAAATTTTTCACTCTTTGTTATATTGCAGCCATTTGCTAAAATCATTTAAGTTAAATTTTTTTCCTCATTAATGTACACACAGCACCCCATATTGACAGAAAAACACAGAATTGTTGACATTTTTGCAGATTTATTAAAA